CAAGGATGTAACATTATGCCTATGCCATCTGCTGGTCCCCAGGAATGGCATCTTAATAAAAAAGAAAAGAGACCTTGGAGTGAACCAGAACACAGAAGGAGGGCCATGTGAGGGCATGGCAAGGTAGCAGCCATCTACAAGCCAAGGAGAGAGTCCTCACCAGAAGCCAACCAAATCAGCTGGCACCTCAACCTTGGGCTTCTCGCCCTTCGAACAGTGAGAAACTAAATTTCTTTTCAGGTACCCACTCAGAGGTATGTTGTTATAGCAGCTCTAGCAGACTAATACACTCAGTATAATGACATGTAAACACTGCCCAGAGGAAGCTGAATCCCACACGGTTGGCCAGGGTTTGAGTCATGACCATGCATGCCCAGGATCCTACTCTGTTGGGGGATGAATGTGCAGGTTCTCTTTCTCTCTCTCTCTTCCAAGCACTCTCTGGTAAAATAAACAAACAAACAAACACATTTTCATCTCTGAAACCATTAATAAGGCCCTCTCAAATATCCTACCAAACTGAAGAGCATCTGAGCCTTTGGGCTACGCCCCAAATTCACCTGGAAGCAGGGAAGAAGCATTAGCCAGCCAGTCAGGGAAGGTTCCTAGAAAGCTGAAGACTGTCTCCTCCTCTCAGGACAGATCAGGTCTGACAGGCTGAAGCATTTTGAAATGAAAAGGCCCCACCCTGAGTACAGATAAAAAAGAAAAGATTTGAATTACTGAAGACAGAGAACAACAGTTGCCTTTGGCCTTGTAAAAGTGCCCAGAGCAGGGAGCTCTCCCTGGTGCTGCTACGACTGTCATCCTAGTAATTAGTGTCCATTTTTGACAGTCAAGCAAGCTGGTCTACTGACTCCCACCCCCACTCCGGCCCTCCTGACTCTGTGGGCTTCACCAAAGACAAGGACCTAGGGTCAGGCCAACACACAACCCACTGTCCTTTTTTTTTTTTTTAAAGATTATTTAATTTTATTAATTATGAAGATGATGATAGTTTAATTTGCTATGGGGCACATGCGCTCACCAGAGAGAGAAAACAAGAAAGCAAGTCACCAGTTCTGGGACTTGAAGTGCAGATGGCCATGTGAGAGGCCAGTGCCTCAACCACCACGCCACCTGCTGGCTCCAACCTACTGTCTTTCAATCACCTAAACTCAAACCCTCTGACTCCTTTCTTACACTCAGTATCTACTTATCAACCAGCCCATTCTATCTTCTGTGTTTTCTTTTTCTTTCTTTCTCTTTTTCTTCCTTCCTGCCTGCCTTCCTTCCTTCCTTCCTTTCCTTTCCTTTCCTTTCCTTTCCTTCTTTTTTCTTTTTTTCAGAGTTTTATCATAGGGCATACACCATTGGAGATAGACTAGAGAGAGAGAGATTTCTCACTTTTCCTCCAAGTAAGAAATCACCCCTAGAGGGGATGGCCATGCCGCAATCCCTACTCCTCCATTCTTCTCTCGGGATTTTGGGTACTCACACAAACGTGTTTGGCATGTTTTCTAAGCTGCCAGGTCTGGGACTCAAACTATATTTGGTATGCAGGAATACGAATTTGCTAGCAAAAAACCACATACTCTCAGAGTTTCAGACATCAAGTAAGTCCCAGATCAACAATTTGTTATGAAAAGGAAAGACACTAGACGGTTTCTCCCACATGGTGGACCATTGTTGCTCAATAAGGCAGTGAGTGAATACGGAAGCCAGCATACAGACTGTCCTCAAGGGCAGTTTGGGTTAGCTCAGATCTCTGAAAAAAACAAAACAAAACAACACTTAGCTGTGGGATTCCAGAATTCCATTCCACTGAGAATAGAAGACCTGGATCTAAATATTTTGAAGTCTATTCAATTATGAAATAGCTTTCCCTGTACACAGGATATAATCAAAAACACATAATAACATTAAAAAGAAAAAGAAATCTGACATTGGTTTGTGACAGAACATAAAAAACTTATCTGGTATTATGAGGAAGAATTACAAAAGCAGGGTAGTCTCATCTACGGAAATAATATTAAAACAATTTTATTATATATTAATGTACAGCAGGAAAGGGGAGATGAAAATAGTGTAAGTGGCCAAGCAGGACATCTGCTTTTAATGGACATCTGAAGCAAAACCTGGGGCCAGCAGGTGTGTGGTGGTTAAGGTGCTGGACTCCCCACATGGCGGACTGTGGTTCAAGTCCCAGATCTGGCAGCTTGAAAATCATGCCTGGCATGCGTGTGTCTGTGCCCAAAATCCCAAGAGGAGAAGGGATTGCAGCATGGTCATGCCCTCTAGGGGTGATTTCTCACTTTTCCTCTCTCCGTCTCTCTCTGGCAAGCATACACACCCGATTGCAAAAATCTTAAAAAAAAAAAAAAAAAGATTTTTTTTGGGACTAAATACAACTATTTTATTAATAAAATTTTTTAAAAAAAAAAAAAAAAAAAGATTTTTGAGTACTAAAACTACTATTGTATTCATAAATAATACAAACTACTTATAGAATATTACAGACACTAAAAATATTGTATTACTAAATATTTTGTATTAAAATGATTTTCAAAAATTTATCTCAGAACTTCACATACTTGTGACAGAATAAAATAATCCTTGTAAAAATGAGTTAGAGTCCTCAAATGGGCATAAGGGTTATTACCTCCTTGAAATGTTCATATGAGTAAACATGAAAAAGTTCAAACACGAAAATGTTCAATTTCAAATTAACAATCCTCAAACATGTCACCTGCCAAATGTCATTTATTGACATAGAAAGCTTAAAAGCACTATAGATGACCAGAACAAATACATATGTATATATGTGTGTGTATATATATATATATGTACGTGTGTGTATATTACATGCATATATATGTATATATATATTTTTTTTAATACCCAGAGAATGTATGTATATATGCGAGAGAGTAAAAGCATCCCTCAAAGGGACTGGTCATGTTGCAAACATTTTTCCTCCATATTCCTCTCCCATCAGGATCCTGGACATATATATAGGTGCACCCAGCAATGAAGCCGCCAGGGCAGAATTTGAACCATGATCAGAAATATGGGATCTGGCTCCCTCTGCACAGTGCCTAATTATTGTGCTAGAGCCCCAGCCCCAGAGTTCATATTTTATCACTATTTCCAATAAAATACAACATAATAATAATTTTATCTATGATTATAACATACCTTTTTCAAAAAACAAATTTTTTTTTTCTTAATTTGCTAGAGGGCACATGTGGTCAGTAGCAAGGGAGACAGAGAGAGAAAGTGAAAAACCACCCCCTAAGGGGGAGGGTCATGCTTCAATCTCTTCCTCACGCTCCTCCTGGGATTTTGGGCACACACACACAGGGGCCAGCATGTTTTTCAGGCCACCAGGTCTGGGACTCGAACCGTGTGGTCAGCCATGTGGAATTCAGTCACCTTAACTACCGTGCCATAGGCTAGTGTGGGGAGAGCTGTTTAAGATAACCCTTTCTGAGGTCAGCAGGTGGCATGGTGGTAAGGTGCTAGATTCCCACATGGCCAACCATGGCTTCAGTCCCAGACCCGGTGGCTTGAATCACAACAAATAATTAGATAACTAAGATAATGTTTCCCCTTTCCCAAGCCTAGCAAAGGGGCATGAGAAAATCACCTGGGAAAGGTGAAGAGTCTAAAACTCCTGAAAGAGTTTAATGGAGAAGCCGGCCGGGGTGCCTCGGTGACTGCACCGTCAAGGCTCTGCCCTTGAGGCTAACCTCCTTTCAAGAGTTTGGCAGAGACGTGCAAGCATTTCCCTAAGGACCATGTGGGACCTCTGAAGAAAAGAACAAGATGAGACTAATCTTCCGAGAAGACTGGCTAAAGGTCACCCCTTTCTGTGGAGGAGTGAGAAGGGCCTGGACAGAGGGCATGCTGCCCTTAGGGCCTTGGAGAGTCAAAGATGGAACCCCCACCTCCAAACTCTGTGGATTGCTAGATAGGAAGTCCATGGGGTTTCCCAACACAATCCCACCAGTCCCTTCTACCTGGTATTTGAAATTGGTCTTTCAGGGGGTAAATATTTCTGTTACCTCCTTCCTCATTCCACCTAGTCTCATCCCATTCACGTGAGTAGTCAGTGCTGCTGAGAAGGGATATGGCTTTAAGTAACTTCCACAGCCTTCTTAATCTGGCAACTAGCACTATTAGACATACCTGTCCTCTTTCCACTGTAACTTGGCAAATGAGACAACCTGCTTCTCAAAGATGAATCACTCTTCCTATTGTGTTTATGAGGGAGAAAATAATGATTAAGCTTCTAATTGCTATACTTTAAAAAGGAGTCCCTGAAGGAACTCCAAATTCTGGCACTGGTATATGTGTTCATGCTCCAAATCTGGACCAGTGGAAATGGAGGAAAAGGGATTGCAGCATGACCACATCCCACGGGAGGGGGGGGGGCACTTTCTTGCTCTCTGCCCCTTTGTCACTCCCTTGCAAATGCACATACTCTCTAGCAATGAAGTTTAAAAAGGAGTCAATTCATTTTAAATCACACTACAATCAAAAATGGATTTTTACCACACAAAATGAGCCTAAATATTTAGGACTCAACCTTACTTATGAGGAAAACAAGCATACCAGTATCTTTCAGTCTCAAAGGTCACTCACAGCTATAATGCGATTCATTAATATTTTATAAATAGAAGTTAATGTCCTCTTCTCATTCCTTCTATGACAGTCACTAATCAGAAAAACAATTTCTCTACCTCCAAAGCAACAAAGTTCTTAGATATTATGTTACTGAACTAATCCTATGCCCATGGGCTCAGAAATTCCATTTAATAGAAGTATTTCATAATCAGTTTAATATTGTTTTGGGGAAGAGCTAAGGGCCTGGAGTAAAATAATAAGGTAGTCGTAGCTGTAGAAAGACTGCAAATATTTAAAAGCTTATTTTAGTATTCACATTTTAAATATTTAAAAGGCAAGTCTGACTGAAAAGTAAAATTGTTTTGATCCCTGAAAGGATCAACCATGCTAACCCTGAAAGAGCTGAATGAATCGAGGCTGTAAGGCCGCGGTGATCAGGCGGTCAGGCAGCTCCCTCAGGAAGAGCTTCAGTAGACTGGCAGCTGAGCAGACGTCACCATCCCGCCCCAGCTCCATGGGCGCCCCACTCTCCCACTGCCATCGGAGCTGTTCCACCACCTTCACGTTGCCATTCACCCTGAAAAGACCTTCCTGGGTGAGTCCTGAACAGGAGACATGGAAAATAAACAGAGGGCTCTCACAAACTGATAGAAACCCAAAGGGCAATAATAACAAACATAAATAAATCTCAGCACACCATTCTCTGAGTATGGTAGTTCTCAATCATTAGATGTTCACATTGTATAAACACATTTTCTTAGAATAACACATTTTCTTATCTTACTATATTATCAACAAAAAAGATCATACAGGAATATTATAAAAGCTGAACCCTGAAACTAGGCTATGCCATATATTCACATAGAACATTAATACCATACGAATTTCTTTTATATAATCTTACAGTGCTGAACAGAAACTTACTGTGGGCTCTAACAGTAGCTAGCATTTTATGAACAATTATTTTAAAAAATGACACACATGTAAGACACTTCTGATATATATGATTATCTTTGTAATAATTTAAGTAAGAAGTAAGTGAGCCAGCCTGAGGCTTAAGAGAGCTGGATCCCAATGGACACTATAGCTTGAATCCTGGTCCCAGTGGCTTAAAAATAAACAAAGGGGGCCAGCAGGTGGTGTGGTGGTTAGGGCTCTGGATTCCCACATGGCTCACTGCAGTTCGAGTCCTAGACTGGCAGCTTGAAACTCATGCTGGGCACGCATGCATGCATGTGTGGCCAAAATCTCGAGAAGAGAATGGAGGAGAGGGGATTGTAGCATGGTCATCCACTCTGGTGGAGGTTCCTAGCTTCCTGTTTCACTCTCTCTCTCTGGAGAGGGCAGATGCCCTATAGCAAAAAAACTCTCAGACAAGAAAAATACATAAATAAAAGAAAGAAAAACACACCAGGAGCCTATGCCTAAAATCCCATCAGGATGGAAAAATGAAGGGATTGTGGCATGACCACTAGCCTCCTAAAGGACTGCTTTCTCCTTCTCTCTCTCTCTGTCTTGCACATATGTCCTCTTGCAAACGAAAAGAAAGAAGGAAAGAAGGAGGGAAGAAAAGAAAAAAAAAGAGAGAGAAAAGACAGGGAGGGAGGAAGGAAGGGAGAAAAAGAGGCAATCATTTCTCTATCACTAAATTCAAACTCCAAGACACTACGGGACTATAAATGGTGTAAGAAAGAGCCTTGGCTTCCGTTAGTCATGGCGGAATATCAGTGTCAGCCGAGGTTGGTAGAGAGGGCTGCACAGAGGAGGCAGACCCAGAGGAGGCAGACCCTAAGCCTTGGCTAAAACACATACAAAATGGAAGGGCTGGGGTTGATGTCCAGTAACTCTAATGAAGCTTAAGCTTCAGACTTCCTCCTTTTCTTGGGCAGTTTCCAATCTCTGTCCCAGGCTCAATATTCTTAATGTTGAATTGTTTTTCTCAAGGAGGTCTCCACAAGATTAATTATCGGGACCCACACACCTTGATCCACCTGTGACAAAGAGGAATGAAAACAGACACTGAGAAATAGAGACAGGAAAGCATGAAGAAAGGTCGGTAGATAAATATATGGTGTGTTTAGGTCAGAGCACAATAGGATAACAACAGGGAAGAAATGGAAGGGGGTCTATGGATGCTGTTACAGAGTGAAGACTTTATCACCAGAGCATTAAGCAGGGGAAACAAAATACAGTCATGGTTTACAGAAGATTTAGCCAGCGAGCAAGCAGAGAATGTGGAGGGCAGAGAGCATGCTTCAGATCACTGCCTTCCATTGTAAGGCAGTAAGAAAGATTATGGTGGAAGAAGAGAAAAAACAGAGAATAAAGATGACTTGGTAACTTAGTACATAAGGGATTTAGGAAAGAAAGGAAGGGTTGAAAGATAAGTTTAAAGGTTGAAAAGTAGGAATGGGGGGACGCTGAGAGATAAGGAGTAGGTGGTGGAGCAGGAGTTGATGAGTTTCAACTCAGTGTCAGCAGGCATGTCAGGACTGTCGAAGGTGTGAGAGACAGTCTTTCTAACAGGGCAGGCCAAGGACTTACACTCTTTTTGAAAGTAATGTTAGTAATAATATAAGCACTGAAGCCTTTTGAATTTTTTTTTTTTTTTTTTTTTTTTTTTAGGTTTTTGCCATAGGGAATGGGCACTCACCAGAGAGAGGGAAAGTAAGAAATCATCTTCCGGTGGGATGGCTACACCACAATCCCTTCTTGTCTAGTCTCTCCTAGAATTTTGGGCACGCACGCACATGTGCCTGGTGTGGTTTTTTGTTTTGTTTTTGTTTTATTTTTTTAGAGAGATTTTTGCTATAGGGCACATGCGCTCACCAGAGAGACAGAAAGAGATAGAGAGACAGAAAGTGAGAAATCATCACCTAGGGGGATGGCCACACCACAATCCCTTCTTCAGTTTCCTCTTGGGATTTTGGGCATGCACACACATGCACCTGACATGAGTTTCAAGTCACCGGCTCAAACGGTGGTAGACTACATGGGAGTCCAGCAACATAACTATTACACCATCTGCTGGTCCCACCTGGTATGATTTTCAAGCCACTAGGTCTGGGACTCGAATCACAGCCAGCCATGTGGGAGTCAACACCTTACCATCTGCTGGCCCCTAGAATTTTTAGAGAGGAGTTCTTTGTTTCTTTCTCTTACCAGTTAATTGTCACTGCTCTCGTTAAGCAAAAGAGTAAAGTAATTTCATTTTAATTTATAATTTGAAGAACTACTTTATAAACTCTCTAATTTGACGATATTTAATGAATGCTTAGTACCATGCTAAATATTATAAAAATCGACTGTGAGAAAAAAGTTCAAACAGTATTATTACCCTTAAGTCTGCAATCTGGTAAGATGTTTATGTTCTTCCATATTTGCACATGACTTGATTGCAAAAAACAGCAAAATTTGACATGAATTTTAACTCCAATTCTGACAAACATTGCAAAATTAGGAATGACATTACAATATTTAGCAACCAATACGGCAGGACATTATCTAATTGGAACAAGATCCCAGTCAGTACATGTGGTCGGCAGCTTCTAAAACACCCGTGATCCTCACTTCATGGAACCAACCCATAGGTAACCCCTCCATGGGAGTGTGGGTTGTACCTAGTGACCTGCTTCTGACAGAGAAATTCGGTCAATGTAAAGCGATGGCACTTCTGAAATCAGAGTATAAACGATGGGCATCCATCCTGCTGTTCTCTATTAATAAATAAGCTACCACTTATTGTGTCAGCTCCTCTATGAAAAGGCCTACATGCAGGGGATTGACGGTGGTCTCTGGCAACATCCATGGTAACTGAGACCCTCAGGTCAACAAGCCAGAAGAAACTGGATTCTACTGACAACCACTGAGCTCGGAAGGGACTCAATCATTCCTGTGTTGAGTCCTGATATGACTGTGGCTTGGCTAACACCATTGTCAGAGCCTTGTAAGAGACCCTAACACAGAGAACACAACCAACACTGTGCCCAGCAGGTTCCTGACCTACGGAAATGGTGGGGTAATCATAAATATTACTGTTTTAATCCACCATGCGGGAGGTTAATTTGTTATGTAGCAATGGAAAACCAGTATGATAGCCAATTCCCTTGGGTTCTGCAGAATATCAGGTATTACTGGGAGATTTTATTTAAAGCCTTCCAGGTCTGTTTCCTCTACTCTACAAAGATAGTTTTTAACTTCAGAATCATATCTAGGCATCAAGAATCTAGCATTCAATTAAAAAAAAATCTTATCTCCAGTAAAGGCCCCAATCCTGAAAATCTAGAATTCTGTCTCCAGCTCGTGTGTTTATCTAGTGGCTTTGTCTAATCTTGCCTTCTGCTTTTGGCTCAGCAAGTACCCTTTGAATCTGATTTTACATGGTGTATTTTTTTAGCTATGACCTTAGGCTTTCTAATCCAGCAAGGCTTTTTTTTTTTTTTTTTTTCTTTTTTGAACCTTCCCCCAAATAAATATACTTGCAGCAACTCCAAAATAAGTACCAGCTCCAAGAACTGTCCGTGGTATTCAGGCTCCTGAGCTCACTGGACCAAAGTAGCAGAGATTAGAAGGTATAAATGCAAGTCGTGGAAGTCATTGCTTCTCCACCACTTTATTCCTGCACCCATCTCTGTTATTTAAATAATCCTTTTCCCTCAGAATGGGGAATATTTCCCATCCCAAACAAGACTTAGTGATTTCCCACCAGAGGTGTTTACTTCTGGACATGGCTATATTATATTCTGGGGGAAAGAATCCATGTAGTTTTAAAAAGCTCCCTACAGGCTAGCTGGTAGAAGGGTGGTTAGGCAGCTGGATCCCACATAGCCGACTGAGCACAGTCCCAGACCTGGCCAGCTTGAAAAACACACCAAACACCTGTGTGTGCATGAAGAGGTTGTGGCATGACAATCCCCTATGGAAGGTGCTTTCTCATTTTGTTTTTTCTCCCCTCTCTCTGGCAAGTGCATGCAAAATGAAAACATAAAAATAAAAAGTTCTTGGGGGTCAACAGGTGGTAATTAAGGGTGCCGGACTCCCACATGGCTAACTGTGGTTCAAGTCCCAGACTGGCGGCTGGCTTGCTTGCTTTCTCACTTTCTCTCGTTTCTCTGTCCCTCTCTGGTCAAATAAATAAATAAATAAAGAATGAAAGAAAGCTTAAAAAAAAAAAAGAAAACGGAAAGTTCTTTGTGAGGCTATAATACCTCCAGTACCTGAAGTGTGCTCTAAATCTCAAAAGGATGGAGAGATGGAGAAGTGATTGCAGTATGACCATTCTCCATGGGAGAGTGCTTCTGCTTCTCCCTCTCTCACTGTCTCTTTGTCTCTCTCGAGTGGGCACACATGCCTTCTAGCAAATATTCATTAAAAAAAAATCCAATACCCAAATGAGGACTCCCAGACTATAACCTTTACATTTTTTCCCTACTCTAAACTTTTAAGAAGTTATGATTAATAATAGAAATGTTCTAAAGAAAGATATTTAGATGGCTGCATGAAGTAGCATTATTCTCATGCATTTCAGAGATCCTGATATAGATCTATTTAAGAGATATAGGTTAACCATTATAAACCAGTAGTCTAAAATAATGTTTTAGAAATGAAAGAATGACCTAAGTTAATATCTACTCCATGACAGATACTTTTCTGTCCAAAGCTATTTCAAAATAATATGAATTGGAGCCGCAGGTGGTGTGGCGGTTGAGGGCACTGGATTCCCACATGTCCGACCACGGTTTGTGTACCACACCTGGTGACTAGCTTTCTCACTTTCCTGCTCTCTTTCTCTCTCTCTCTCACTTTGTCCTTCTCTGGTCAACTTTAATAAATAAATAAAGTCAAATAAAATAATTCTTAAAAAAATACAAATATATCTTTAGAAACTAAATATTGCAGAAGTCAGAATTTGCCAACAGGCATACTTTGGCCAAAGAAGTAGCGTGACAATATGTTAGTGCATTCTGACACCTGCTGGTGACTGGAGAATCCAACACTATTTAAATTGGCACAGCCCATGGTGTGTGCTAAAGAGGCCTCTGACCACATTGTCAGCGAGATTGGCTATCTTAAAATACCTTCAAGCTGAGATGCCTTATATTTTTTAAGGAAAAAAGTCCAAAATTTGTTTAAAGACCTTGATGAACCCTTCCTACCCTAAAATTCCTTTATAATATAATTCTCTCTTGTGTAGAGTTGTTAAATGTTTGTATTTACATCAAAGAAAATGGCCAAAACACCTACCTATGATTAAATTATATGACAGATCACCCCTATATTCTCATACCTGATAAAGTACCTACAGTATCCCAGGTGAACAATAACTATTTGCTAACTTGAAAAACCATACAATAATGAAATAAAACAAACTGAGTGTCTTGCCTTCAAATGTTATCGATCACCCTTCCAACTTACACAGGTTCTTTTGTCTCTTACTATAATAGTTTCACATACAATAAAGGGCGTCTGGATGTCTACACAAAAATTATCAATAAGATTCTGGGTCCTGCTCTGGCTTGTCTAGTCATGATTCTGATTCAGGGCAGACAGGGTGTCATGAATGCATGTGTATTTTACAAAGACTCCACTATTTTACATTTTTTATTAAGAATGACTGGTATGGGATCAGCAGATGGTGTAATGGTTATGTCGCTGGACTCCCATGTAGTTGCCTGTGGTTTGTGTCCCAGACGTGATGGCTTGAAACTCACGCTAGGCATGTGTGCATATGTGGCCAAAAATCCCCACAGGAGAAAAGAGGAGAAGGGACTGCAGTATGGCCATGCCCCTTGGGTAGTGATTTCTTGCTTTCTGTCTTCGTTTGTCTCTCTGGAGAGTGCCTATGTCCTATAGGAAAAAAATCTCTCTCTAAAAAAAAAAAAAAGAAAAGAATGACTGATTTAGCTTACTCAAATATTGGATTTGCACTACCCAAATACACCATACTAAGAGTATGCTAAGGAGATGTACAAGAAAAGCAACCCTAACTCAAATTTCGCCAAATCTTTTGTGTTAAACTTTACATCTGAGCAAATCCAGAGACTGAGAAACTGGTCCTTCTGAAGCTTATTTTCCTTCCAAAATAAGGAGATAACTCCGATGAGCTAAGAACACAATCATACCTGTTCAGGAACAAGGTATGATTTTGTCATCTACACACCTGGTGACCAGAATAGATAGCTGTTTTTTCAGTGAACACAAACACCTGATCTTCTAAGGAATGAACCATCTGCCATGCAGTCCCGGCCAAAAATCAGGGCATGTTCCTATAGAGGAACATTCACACACTGTTTTTCACCCATTTCCCACAAAATAAGATATGAAGCCTGAAGCAAACTGTGCCAAGTACAGAATTTCTTTGACATCTCCAATTTTACTTACTTTTTTTTTTAAAGTATTCATTGTCATTACTTTATTATTTTATTTATTTGTTTGTTTATTGGTTTGTTTGTTTATTTATTTGAAACTGACCAGAGAGAGACACAGAGTGAGAGGGGAATTGAGAAAGCAACCTGCCAGGTCCAGTACTTGAACCATGGTCAGCCATGTGGGAGTCCGGCCGCCTTAACCACCATGCCACATGCCAGGCCCCAATTTTACTTACTTTTAAAAATCCCTAACACTTTATACTCTATTCTATGAGTCTGTGCTTGTTTTAGTATAGAAAAGTTGAAGATCCCAAATTTTTCCCTCAGAATATTTCTCTCCTAGGGTTTGAGTGGTGATGTGGAGGTGACACCACTGGACACAGATGGGAAGGTGCTGGTTTCCCTGGGCCTCCCTGAGCATGCGGAGTGCTTGCATGACCATATACTATATCAGCTAGGACTGTGGGTGATTCTAGCAGGAGAACTCTTGTGGGGGGGGTCCCTGTGTCTGAGCTCTCTGCCTTTCTCTCATGGAAGAAATAAATGCATAACCTTAAAAAAAAATTACCTGTGATGGTTAGTTTGGGGTGTCGACTTGACTGGAAAGGACTATGTATAAAAAGCACGACTCTAGGTGTTTCCAGAAGAGATTAACATGCAAGTCTGAGGAGACCAGAAGAGGAAGACCTGCCCTCAATGTGGATAGGCAGATCCAATCAACAGGGCTCAGAGTGAATAAATTCAGAAAAATGAATGGGCCTCTTTTTAGACAAAGAGCAAGACAAAGCCTCTTGACCTCGGACATCACATCAGTGGCTCCCTGGGTTTTCGGGCTTTAGGCCTCAGACTGTTAGTTACTGGCTTCCCTGCCTCTGAGGCTTGGGACTTGGACTGCACCATACTACCAGAATCCCAGGGTCTCCAGCTTGCAGATGGTCTGCTGTGGGACTTCTGAGTCGACATAATCACATGAACCGATTTCTGCAATAAATCCCCTCTCATATGTCTAGACAGAGTCCATTGGTTCGGTCTCCCTAAAGAGCCCTAATACACTCCCCCAAATGTTAAAGCTTATTGATATTTATTACGTAGTTTGAAGTTTCGCATCGTATCTCCCCAGTTTGAAAAGTGTGGATATAGGGGGTCAGGAAGCATTCTCTCCAATTATTCAGGTTTAATTTCATTTAAATAAAATCATTTAAAAAATTTTTTAAGAGAGGTTTCTGCTATAGGGCGTGTGCACTTGCCAGAGAGACAGAGAGACAGAAAGTGAGGGACCAGCAGTAATGGCTATGTTGCTGAACTTCCATGTAGCTGACTGCAGTTCAAGTCCCGGACCCGGTGGCTTAAACTCACACTGGGTGCATGTGCGTGTGTGCCCAAGATCCCGAGAGGAGAATGGAGGACAAGGGATTGTGGTGTGGCCATGCCCCTGGGGGGATGATTTCTCGCTTTCTATCTCTCTGTCTCTCTCTCTGTCTTTCTAGTGAGCACATGCGCCCCATAGCAAAAACCTCTCAAAAAAAATAAAAGAAAAAAGAAAGTGAGAACTCATCCCCTTCTGGGGGTGATGGCCATGCTGCAATCCCTTCTCCTCCATTCTCCTCTTAAGATCCTGGGCACACATATACACACGGCCGCTGTGAGTATAAGCTGCTGGGTCCAGGACTCAAACCACGGTCAACTACATGGGAGTCCAGTGACATAACCATTATGCTATCTGCTGGTCCCCAAGTCATCAAAAATCTATAGGTTACATAGCTCTTCATTATTGAGAAAGACATGTATTTTTCATATATATGTAAAATTTGTATATAAATCATGTAAAGTACTACATTACTCTCCAAATGTTTCAGATGTTTAATTTTATCACTTCAAAAATGACACCCTCCCACAACAGCAGGCCCTACCTCATTCTTGTTTGGTACCCTACAAAGTTTATGAAGACAGTAAGGCATCCAATAAATTCATGATTGACTTCAGATGAGAGGGATACCCAAAAAGTGCTCTATCACATTAAAAATTATTGACCGTCAGTAGAAATGCAATCAAACAAGGGAACACACTATTAGAAAGGTGCATTTTGAGCATATTTTAGTGCTTAAAACCAGGAATCATGAAGTCAGCAGGTGGTGTGATGGTTAAGGTGTTCGACTCCCACATGCTCGAGGATGGTTTGAGTCCTGGACATGGCAGCTTGAAAATCACCCTGGGCATATGTGTCCAGAATCCCAGGAGAAGAATAAAGAATGGATTGGGTGTGCCCACCCCCCTGGGTAGTGGTTTCTCACTTTCCTTCTCCCTGTCTCTGTCTCTCTCTTCCTATGGTGAGTGCACACGCACTACAGCAAAAACCTGAAAGCAAATAAACAAACTAGGAATTGTTCCAAACTAGAGACCTCAATAATTACAGTGATTGCACTAGGGTTACTTTAATTAATATTGTCAAAATAATGTTCACCAGTAATGCTTCCTTTTAAGGGAAAAGTACTTTGTGCAATAATTTGGTATATCAATGAAGGTGCGTTCAAGACTATTCTAACCATACAGTATGACATAATTCACAGGAAAACATACCCCCTTTACACAAGGAACTGTAAAACTGCAAAGAACTGAAACATGACTCAACTTACCGTGCTGCGTCAGGTACTCCACTAGAGCCCACACGACCGTGGGAACGCCGTTTTCCGTGAGCCCCTGCTGCTGGAGTTCCTGCAGACTCACTCCAAACAGCTTCTTGTAGCTAGCACCTCTCTGCTCACTTAGTGGCACTGCCACTATCTTTTTCATGTCTTCTTTCAGCCGAACCGCTGCTTTATTTTGCTTAAAAGGGCATAAGAAGAAAGAGCAGTCAGTCATAGTCACCACAGGAGGCTGCATGGTTACAACAGAGAGGCATGGATTAAAATGTAAGTGCTTGCAGGTGAAGGGCAGTGGTCGTCACGTAACTGGACTTCAATTCAAATCACAACCTCTCCCATCTCTCCCACACCGCAGTGTTACGAAGGGCGCACACTGATACTGGTTAAAAAGGAGTGAAAATGAAGAGACATCTGAAGCCACAACTTGGGTGTAGCTAAGAGAGGGAGCAATACACCACAGTCTCTAAGATATATTACTACAGCAACCACGGGGTGTGACTTAGAAGTACCTGCTGATCAGGAAAACACATGCAAGTACATTCAAGTGCCACGTGGATCCTGAAACAATAAGACACTTCTAAAGACAAAAAATATACCTAAGTATGATTCAAAGGTAGCCAAAGCTTGACATAGGAGAAGAAAAAGGAATAAGTGTATGCAGACTGAACATTTTATTTCTCTGATTTGATTACATTCGCAAATATCTTGGTAATTTTCTGGCACATAAGAGCAATTGTGGCTGAAGTTCAAAATGCCCTATCTCTGAAACCACAGCATTTTAGGTAATCAAGATTTACAAATTTTTTCTTTCTCTTTTAAAAAATTTATTTATTTATTTATTATTATTATTTTTTGCTATAGGGCGCACGCGCTTGCCAGACAGACAGAGAGAGACAGAGAGACAGAAAGCGAGAAATCACCCCACAGGGGGGATGGCCACACCGCAATCTCTTCTCCTCCATTCTCCTCTTGGGATCTTGGGCACGCATGCACACACGCCCAGCGTGAGTTTTAAGCAACTGGGTCCGGGACGCGAACCGCGGTTGACTACATGGGAGTCCAGCGACATAGCCATTATGCTAACTGCTGGTCCCTATTTATTTAATTTTATTGTTATTACTATTTTTTAATTTTACTAAGGGACACATATGCTTACCAGAGAGACAGAGGGTGAGAGAGGGACCAACAGATGGTGTAATGGTTATATCGCTGGACTTTTATGTGGCAAATCATGGTTCAAGTCCCAGACCCAGCAGCTTGAAACAAACGTCAGGTGCATGTCTATGTACCCAAAGTCCCGAGAGGAGGTTGGAGAAGAAGGGATTGTGGTGTTGCTATCTCCCCTATGGGGTGATTGCTTGCTGTCTCTCTGTTCCTCTCTGTCTCTCTGGCAAGTGCACGCACCCTGTACCAAAAATCTCTCTCAAAAAGAAAAAAGAGAGAGAGTGAGTGAGAGAAAGAAAGTGAGAAAGCAAGCCACCGGGACTGGGACTTGAACAATGGTCGGCCATGTGGGGATCCAGTCCCTCAACCTCTGCGCCGCCTGCTCTGGTCCTACAATTTTTTCAATAAGGCTACACATATTATAAATAAGAAATACAACTTATATTCAATTGATTCAAGTTACTATTGCAATAAAAACAATCTATTAAGGTTTCTTCTTTAATAGAAGGAAGAGGGATTTTTTTAAAAAAAGCATGCTAATGTTAGGTGGATGTAAATCAATCCACTGAAAGGAAAGATGGCAAAATCCAAGGAATTTTATTTGGGAACCAGGGCAGTAAGATTAGGATTAACTTTTGCTTTTTTAAGAATAAGTGTAGTGGGCCAGCAGATGACAAAGCAGTCACATCACTGGACTCCCACATTGACCTCAGTTCAAGTCCCAGACCCAGTGGGACTTGAAACTCATGCCAGGTATTGTTGTGTGCATGCCCAAGATCCCAGGAGGAGAAGAAAGAAGAGATTGCAGCATGGCCACCCTCCCTGCATGGGGAGGAGAGGTGATTTCTCACTTTCCTTCTTATGTCTCTGTTTTTCTCTCTGGTGAGTATGCATGCCCTATAGCAAAAACTTTTTATAGGAAAAAAAAAAAAAGAGGAGCCAGCATATGGCATGGTAGTTAAGGGCACTAGACTTCCACATGGCCAATAGTGGTGTGAATCCCAGATCTGGCAGCTTGCTTTCTCACCTTCCCTGTCTCTCTCTCTCACTCACTCACTCTGTCCCTCTCTGGTCAAATTTTAAAATAAATAAATAGGGACTGGTAGGTGATGTGGTGGTTAAGGGTGCTCAACTCCCACATGACCGACTGCGGTTCGAGTCCTGGACCTGGCAGCTTGCTTTCTCATTTTCTCTCTCGTGCTTGTTCTCTCTCTCACCTCTATCCCTCTCTGGCTAAATTAAAATAAATAAATAAATAAATCGGTAAAGTTAAACAAAATAATTATTTAAAATAAATACATAAATAAAGTTAAATAAAATAATTCTAAAGAAAAAAAAAGAAGAAATGTCGCACCTAACCAAAGTACTAGTAATGTAAGTGCAAGTTCATTTAGTCCTTATTCTTGTTTTATTTTGTGTATTTTTTTCAAATTTTAGCTAGAGGGCATAAGTACTCACTGGAGAGAGACAGAGAAAGGAAAGATAGAAAGCACCGCCCATGAGGCATGGACATGGTGCCATTCCTTCTCCACTTCTCCCTCCTGCACACCCTGGGAGGGTGGGGAGAAGACTAGTGTTGGACCTGGGCTCCCCCCACAAACTATATTGGCACAATGGTACTATCACAGGGAAATGAGAAGCTTTGCTCTGAGAGGGGACTGACTTGATCTGAAGAGAGGACAAAAACCCCATACATAGTGGGTCAACACTCTAAGGACTTACATCCAGAATATAAAGAACTTTTACAACTCAGTAAGAACGACCCAATTAAGAGATGAGCAAAAGAAGCATATAGACATGGAACCAAAAAAGATACTCAAATTGCCAAAATGTTTCCAAAAACATGCCCAACATATTCAGTCATTAAAAAACTGAGATAACAATACTAATTCATCACAATGGCAATAATGAAAATCATAACTAACACATTATGAGGATGCTTAGAAACTGGAATTCACATATAGTGCCCGTGGAAATGTAAAATAGTGCAACTACTTTAGAAAACAATCTAGTAGTCTCTTCTTTTCTTTGGAGAGGTTTTTGCTATAGGGCGTGTGCTCGTCAGAAAGACAGAGAGAGACAGAGAGACAGAAAGTGAGAAATCACCCCCCCCCCCAAGGGGAATAGCCCCACCGCAA